GGAGTTGTTGAAGCTCCGTGGGTTTGACAAATTAAACCTCTGTTGCCCTCTTAAGGAAAAAGCTGGGTTTGAGAGGATCAGCAGCGCTTAGAGATCCTCACGCTCCTTTCCCGAACTCCACGTGCTTTCTCTCTCTCCGACTTGGGCGGAAACTACCCAAGCCTTTTGTACGGCTAGCAAGCCAATAGCTAGCCGCCACGTGTGCCTATATTAAGATCGGCCAATAATGTGGCGGAAATCTTAATACAAATGGCAGGAACTTCCTTGTACCATGCATCACTATAATGCAAAAGAAATGCACGATGCAAAGAAGACTACAGAACTGGCGGGAAAAGCTCCTGCACGCGGGTTCTCAATTGCAACAGAACGCTCCACCGTGCAAAAGAGCTGTAATTTAGTGGGAACACAATTTAGCGATGCCGAAGCACACACAAACAAAAAAACCCACAACTTTGGGTTGTGACACATCACCCCTCCCACTTCCAACAGGGATACTTCCAAACAGCTTCACTTGTCCTCAGAGCCTACAGTGTCCCCTCTGGGACAAACGCTGTGTCTCTGCCAGGCAGCCCTTCCCATTCTGTTCAGGTGGGTCCATTTTTTAAAGGCTGCTACAGATAGAACCTGGACCCTGCCTTTCTGACTCCTCTCATAGTAGCAGGATATTCAGGGGATGTTCATATCCCCCAAGATATTTTCTGTATCAAATAACTCCAGAGGTCTGTAATATTTCCTTCAGGTAGGAGTTCTCCCTGTGATTTTTCAGACTGCTTGGAAAAGGTCTGGAAGCTTCCCCTTGTTCATTCCCTTACTCCTCTTCTTTCTTCTTTACCAGTAGTTTCTTTATGTTCTATAAAAGATGGCTAGAATTTGCTACAATGAGATCAAGTGTTTCTGAGGCTCTTTCTGAATTGGATTGTTAGATGACCCAGATCTCTAGAAACTCTAATTATTTTCCTTCCAGTTTTATTTCACTATTTTTCAATAGTCTGCTACAATTTTCCAACTGCACTTTACCACAAAGTAGTAATATACTTTACTCTTAAGTAAATAATTTAAACAATGACAAAAATCAATATTTAAATAACTAAACTAATTATTCTAACTTTTGTTCTCTCTCCTCTGGGGACAAAATACTGTAAGAGTAAAAATAAACTCATTTCCTGTTATGCACCGGTGCATAATACAGTTTGCCTTGATCTGCAGGCACAGATTGCATGATGTAATAAAATATGATATGTCTATTTAATTGTGGATATTTGAGGAAAAATTACAAAGTCAAACATGTTGTAAGCTTGCAATAGTCATAATTCTACAGAAGCTGAATTCTTATAACTCAAGGGGAAAAAGGAAGAAGGAACGAGCTGGAGAGAAGGCATGTGACTGGAGTAAGAAGAAAGGGAGTTTGCAGCCTACACATGAAGCCTGATGAGCCCTACATAGCAGTGCAGTGGAGCTTAGGATCCCAGTAGCTTGGTCAGCCAAGACTGTGTGGACTGAAGGAGCTGGACTCAGACTTAAGGCAGCTGCAGGTTGCTGCTGTTTGAGTGCTCTGGGACTAAAGGCTTGTCTCAGGACACCTCCAGAAATGAGGGGAAGGGTGGAAATTAAGAGCACTTTTACACATGTTCTCGGGTGGGTGGGGTGGTGCTGTAATTAGAGTGGCTCCAAGAGCTGCTTTAATTAAAACACAACTGTGTCTCATGTACCAGCATACCTGCACTTAAAAATGGTGGGTGGGGTGCTTAAACTAAAGCTCATCAATGAGCTTTATAGGTCAAGCACCCCGTCCGCCCTTGTTAAGCACGAGGACACTGATACTACAAGATGCAGGAGGCTGCTTGAACACAGTAATTGCCACGCTCCAGCAGACTCAATCAGGTCTGCTCCAATGCGCTGAAATTCCAGAGCATCAGAGCAGCCACCACACTCGGGTATAAGTTCCCTAAGGCACTGAGTATATGTTATCACTGTTGTTGTTCCTTTATCCTTTTACCTGTTCCCACCTTTGGTCCATTGGCTTGTGACCCTAACCCTCATGACTTTCCTGTATAAAAGTGGGAACCCCCATTCTGTTTCTTTTGCCATTTTGGGGAGCTATGGGCTTGGCACACACCAACAGATAGAAGCCAGATTAGGAACAGGATGTTTCCATCTTGTGCTCAATTTGTTCCTCATCTGACTTTGGATCCACCTCATTAAATTAATTCAAACAGACCTCAGAAAATCCTGTCATTTGGTCTGTTTCCCCTTGTGTACAATAATTTGGGAATCCTTTTCCCGAACATAGGCTGTTGACTAGCTAGTGAGAGCCCCTTTTTCGCGCTCCTGAATCTGAACCACATTACTTTAAAATGCTCTTTGAGGGCCCATCACACCCCAATAAGCTACTTTGCATGTCTTAACTTCTGCATTTTAATGTCTTTCTTGAAAGGTGAATTGCAAAACTGGATGCCATACTTCACCAATTCTATACACTTACTTAAAGTCATCTCTCATTCCAGCTTCCCTATTTATAGATCCAAGAACACAGACAGATAAATAATTCTTCATGCATCAATATTAAAATTATTAATAATTCACCTTCTGTCTAGTTCCCTGCTTGCAGACACACCCTGTGCAGTGGAGGGGGGAACTTACACAGAGGTCATCCTCCTGTGGGGGGAAAACTTTGTCCCCGGGTTCGTTGGGCGGAGGCTCAAACGAACAGGCCAATTGAAGTTAAAGACTTAGTTTAATAAAGAAAGCATTCCTGGTCAGCGTCATACCCGAATTCAGAATTTTGCCATGAGGTCTGACTCTGAACATAGGCAGTGAGGGGGTAATATAGAAAATGTGACATCATAAACATAGCAACAGTATAAACCAATCAACATTAGACATGACGCAGACAAGTCTGCACATGTCTTCAACTTGTTACTGGGGAAAAAAACTAGTTTAAACCAGTCTGTAACAGCAAGGTCATGACCTGGCTACATGACTCGCTCACAAACAAAATGGCAGACTGGAACCATTTTGTTTTTCCCCTTCATTTCCCACCTTTGATCCTTCCGAAGGAGGATCACTCTATTTCTATTTGGCACAGGTCTGTCCATAGTTTCTCTTGCTCTATTTCATTCTTTCTTAGTTCTAACACCATGTTTTTAACCGTTTCTTTGGAAATAGATGAGATAGTTTGTTCAGCCTTTTTAACACACAACTTTGTGCAACATAAAACTAGCTGCACAATCACACACAAACTTAACCCTAAAATTAAAACCATACACAAAGCAGACATTATTTTCCCAAGCAGACCTTTGAATAATCCCCTAGGATCTAACCAAGCAAACCAATCTACTGAAGAATCTTTGGGAACGAAGGCTGCTTCAGCGGCTTTGGCAGCATGAACCATCGCATTATTAACTTGGTTTTCTACTAATTCAAAGGTACTATTTACATAAGTGCAACACTCTTGGCCTATTACAGCGCAGGCACCCCCTTCAGATGCTAAAACATAGTCAAGGGCTAATCGGTTCTGCATAACCATTAGTCGTAAATTATCTTGATTTCGGGCTATGATCTTTATAGCGTTTCCCAGTCTGGTTATGGCAATTTCAGTTTCTAGGGCCAATATTTCAACTACCGCTTGTAGTCGCAGGGTATATCTTCCCAAACAGGAGATAGCTGGACCGGTAATTAGTGGAATTATTCCTGCTACAGAACACCCTATTAATTTTCCCACGGTTAAAGGATTTTATAAGTTTCAAGGGTAGCTATCGCATCTTGTTCTCGATCTGCTCGCTCAGGGCTTTCTCTTTTATTTCGGTGATGCCCTGGAGGCAGACCCTTTATAGCTCTGACTGGAGGGGTTAGCCAGGCTACATAACAAGATCCGACCAATTTGGCGGTAGTTGATGGTAGGCTTTAGTCCTGCATACCCAATAGTTCCTTGCAGGGCCTAGTTATTACTAAAGGAGCCATCATACCAGTCTAGGGTAAACCGACCTCCAATAGGAGATGGCCTTCCCAAACTGTCAGGAGATGCTGACTTTATGGTGCCATCTCTATAGCAATGCCCTCCTAAAGTAGAACATTCCCATATGGTGATATGTGACCACTTAATTGGTTTGCAAGATATTGCGCCAGTTCTGCTAGTCTGGTTATATGGGTTATACTAGCCATTAAAACTTTGGCACCATGTTCTCTCTTTAGTATGATTCTTCATCCACACTCCTTTTCCCATATCATAATGTTTACAACTACTATTTCCCACTGAATAATTTTTTTGTTGGGAGTAGTTGCATACCCAACACATTTCTCCCTGTAAAGGAATCACCGTAAGGTGGCATTATTTGGGTCTGCCCACCGCACAGTTAAATTTTCTAAACTCAGGGGGAGAGGTATCATAAGAAATCCTTCGCTATAAGCCCTAGGACTAAGACCACACACCCAGCAATCTGAGGCGTTTAGAGCTATTGAAAGACGTTTAGGGCTATTGATACCTTTTGTAGCAGACCAAGGTATGCGTTAGGGGCACCTAATACGGCTAAATTAAGTAGCACTGTAGCCATAATAAACTTAGCAGTAATGTTGGCAAGTATTGTTTGCCTGGCCTCTGCAGGCAATTCTTCTGGGTTTCGTTGTCTATGAGTTCACCTTGATGTTAATAGCACTGATAAGTTACCTTTTCTTGGCTTGTTTTCTAGGACGAAGGTTATAGTTGCGAGGGGGCTCAGCAAGGTAAGGGGTATCCGCATTCGTTTCTTGAAGACCTTCTTCCTCAGTTTCCGTTTGAGTGGGATCTAATTCCAACTGGGCTGGTTCTGGGTTGATTTGTTCTTCTTTCTTTGGCGTTAATGTCCTTTTGCAATGAGATGCGTGGATCCAGGCAGACTTTCCATCAACCTTTACGGCAGTATTAGTGGTTAGCAGGACTTGATAGGGTCCGTTCCACCTAGGTTGCAGGCAGTCTTTCTGGAGAAATTCCTTTACTAGGACCCAATCACCAGGT